TGATACGGCTCACACTCTTCCTTTCCTTTTTAATTCCCAATACCCCCCCAAACCCTATTCATTTTCTCACCGGTAGCCGCCCCTGGATTCCCCCTCTCCCAAATTCTCTCTCAAAAACCCTAGTCGCCTCCCTCTATTTCCACCCTAAAACCACCGGAATCTATGGCTTCCAAGGCAACAGAAGTCTTATACCGACCTCCTATAACTCCTACACGCCAGGTTATTGAAGATTCAAGGCCTGACCGTGAAGAAGCTTGGTCCAGGCTTCATTTGATTCGAGTTCTATGGCCGTCTCTGGCCTTGCTCCGGCAAGCCATGGCTGTTCGAACCTGATCTCGACTTCTCCTGCTTAGATCAACGACTTTCCAAGCCTTTCTCTCCATTTGGGTTCCTCTAAAACCCTAGCTTTTGAGGTTTTTCTGATATTTTTAGATCTGTTCTAGATCCGTGTTTTCCCTGAGCTTTTAAATGGTTTCTCGAGATTTCTTTCAAAAACTATGCTTTCAAACCTTTATCTTTCCGATTAAGGGTTTTGTTGAGATGCTTCTCTGATTTTTGTTAAGTTTCTTGTGTGTTTCTTCTACTATTAGTTTCTTCTACTATGTTTCTCTCCTACTGTGTTCTTACGAGTTCTTCTACTGTGTTTCCCATGTGTTTCTTCTACCATGCTCTTATGAGTTCTTCTACTGTGTTTCGCATGTTGTTTTTTTACTATGTTTCTCATGAGTTTCTTTTACTGGAAGATACATGTTAATGGGCTCACTTCCTTTCTGAGATTTCTGAACTTATTTCATTAGTATTTCTGCCTGATTTACTTATTTTTATCTCAACACTCGATTAATGGTAAAACCCCTAGAATTTGGGGGTTCAGCCGAGTTTGAGACCACTGGCTATGTGATTTGCTTGTTCTTCATCTCTGAACTTGTTTGATTTCAAAAACCCTAACTTTCTTTGGACCTATTTCGAGTTTCTGAAGATTGTGTCATCTGTTGCTCAACTGAGTCTTGAAATTTTTGTTTAAACCTTGGTTTCTTTATATGATTTTGATTCCCTTCTAAGCGTTTCTAAGGTCCTTCTACTGGACCCTTTGTATGCTATTTGATACACTCTCTTCTTCATTGCTGAGTTACCCTGTGATTACCATATTCCTATAGTCTACTACTTACTGCTTGTGCAATTGCATGACACTTTTTCTTCGTCCTAAATTCAGCCTCGCATGCCTAATACTTGTGTACTCTTTATATGTGTTGAACTTCCCCTCTAAATGGCTCTCAATTTTTTGAATGATTTCATACTTCCTTTTGTGTAAGTCTGATTGATTTCTTTCCTTGTTTGCTGATTGCCCTGTTACTTGGTTTGAGTCAAAAGCTTTCCTTAGCCTTTTTTACTTGGTTTATTCATGGACCAGTAGTTACAAATCTCTGATTCCTTGATTTACTGTGTACTAATTGATTCTTACCTTATTTGTTTTAACCGTGTATTTCAAAATTCTACCCTTAATTTAACTCCTATGTATTTACCCCTAATTGACTACTTTGCACAAGATGCTTATTTGATTTCTTTCCTTAAATAACTTTTGCCCATTACCGTTTAAGTTTGAATTCCTTAATTAAAGGAAATCTTATACTGATTGTTTTAATTTATACCCCAGTTCCATAATTATTTTTCTTACCTTATTTCTGCATGTTTTTCACACTATAAATACATGACTCTTTCATTAACATAACACCAACACTCGTAATTTTCTGAACTCATACTCACACTTAAAAGTATTCTCTTGTTACTTGTGGCCTATTTGCAAATCCTACTGCCTACTTCTCTCTCTATTTGCTTTCTTTGAACTGGTATGTTCTAATTAAGATTCAGCACCACAACAATGTGTTTGTTTAACATTCTTTCCTCCTGTCTGCCTATTGCTTGTGTTTAGTTCAATACTTATTTAGCATCCTCCTTCTGCCTGTTCTGCCTCTATTGTGTATTCTAAGTATTTTTGACAATGATGGTTGTTTGCGGCATGACAACATTAAAACATTGATGTCTATGACTCAAACTCGATCCCCTGGGATTGTAACCTCATGCTACCATTGTATGTTGTATATTCTGTCGGCATAACAGCATTTCCTGTTACTGCGTATGCCCAGAATCAATTAATGCCCAGGCACAAGGGCCCGCTGTAATCAGTTCCCAACCCTTGAATCCCTTTTGTGTGAAGTTATTATTTCTGTAGCACTCCTCTCCCTTTTCCTTTACTCCCCTAGTTCTTCAAGTTCTGTTTCTGCACTTGCACTCTCTCTTAGCCTTTAAGTTCTTCCCCCCTCTTGTGAGTCTTGCCTTGGGACCCATTGAGCTCCCTCTGAACTTGGACACTTGAGGGCTGGACCTTCCACACTACACTGACCCCCATTTTGATAATGCAATTTGGGTGTGAGCATTGCCCAGAGTCCCATTGAGGCTCTTAGGGAACTTTGACACACTCAAATGGGAGAAAGGCTTTGGATCATAGTCTCTTTGAGTTGGTCTATCTCATAACTCAAAGAGGAAGTCAAGAATCAGGCTTCCTCTGGTTGTATTTTTCCTTATAGTTTCTGATGTAATTTTATCTATTCCGGGTTGTAATAATTTGTAATAAACACTTGGGTATGGTTAGAGTAAAAGGGTGGATAACTATGTATGCAAAGGGTAGATTCCATGTCTATAGGTATTTTGAATTCTGCATATTCAAATGCATATAGAAATCACGCCTATAGGTCATTTTTAATTCTGCATATCCCAATCTCACATAGACACCATATCTATAGGTATTTTGAATTCTGCATATTCAAATACATATAGATATCATGCCTATAGGTCATTTTGAGTTCTGCATATCCAAATCTCACATAGATACCATGTCTATAGGTATTTCAAATTCTGCATACTCAAACGCATAGAATAGGTATTTCGAATTCTGCATACTCAAACGCATACAGACATCATGCCTATAGGTCGTTCTGAATTCTGCATATCCAATTCTCATATAGAAATCATGTCTATAGGTATTTTGAATTCTATATATTCAAATACACGTAGAAAGCATGCCTATAGGAACTTTTAATCAAATCCGAGTCGCTTCACGTATAGAGCCAAAATTGGTAATAACGGGTACTGTCAGTTGCAGAACTTGTAACCAATTCATTAAGACTTGCCTCTCTTTTAACAATCTGATTACCCTTATTTAGCGAGTTTAACCTGTATGTTTCAGACCCTACTATTTCATTGCTTTTCTGAATCTAGTAGATATTATGCCTATAGGATCCTTGTCCAACACTTAGGCAAGCCTTAGGGAATTAATCATAACTGAATCCGCTTCTGTTAATAATTACAGCCAGCAGACAGGCCTGATTCGGACTTCTTATCTGAGTTATGTAATAAACTAAAATCGCCTCATTAACCGTCCTTCTTCATCTATAATAATCAGACGTAAACAGTATGTGTAAGTCATGCTTATTACATGCTTCTTTATTCAAGGAGGTATATCTGAGCCTCTGCTTGTTATGTGTTTTCCCCAACTTGCAATACGTGTTTTGTATGTCGCCTTAGAGTTTTTACCTTTGAAACTACAAATAAGCCCAATATCCCTCCCTTTTAGAATTAGTAGTCCTAAATGCCTCTGGGACTGATAGGATTGGGACGGGTAATAGCATGTTATAAGTAAACGAGACCAACCCGCGCTTTAAATACCTTAACAGGGTGGGAAGGATAGATATGGATATGATGACCACGCGATAACGTCACATGTAGCCCCTCATTGAGGAGTGATTATCGGACGTTGTGTGGGGTGATCCATATTTTTAGCAAACCTAGGACCCCCTTCCTTTATTCTTATTTCTTTAACATTTCCATTCAATAATCCGCTTCCTCAAATTGCTCTTTTAAACTTTGTCTATTTTCATACCTTTATATGTGAAATCCCCTCTTATTTGAGCTTTATTTGTCTATATGTTAATTGTACCCTAAATTCACAATAATTGTCTGGCCGGGAACCACACTAGTGGATTCTGAGGGGTGCCTAACACCTTCCCCTTGGAATAATTTCAAGCCCTTACCCAATCTCTGGTTATTCAAATCCTCTTGGTTGTCTAATGCGCCCTAATTATTAGGTGGCGACTCCTCAAATCAAACCCGATTCCCAAAAGGAATGAGTTGTCCCTCCAAATGTCATAAGCCCGATTCCGCGAGGAAAAAGGGGGCGCAGTAGCAAGTTTTGATGAACAAGTGTTGAGGTCATAGAAAGTGATCACTACTAGCTCTCCAATACTGAATCTTCAAATGTTTCAGTAACAAAAACTTTAAGCTAGGAAACCTTTCTCAACTATTTCCCACTCCTTGCCTTTGTAGGAATTATTCGTTAGTTTAAGGGCCTCAAGCTTGGGCAACTTACTTACAATGCTCAAATTCATCAACCGCAAACAAGTCCCCTTAAAAGCTAACTTCTTAAGGTTTTGTGGAAAAGCATTTGCAGGAGGAGGGAGTAAAGGTGGAAATCTCTTCAATATTCCCCTACTTGGATAACCAACTCGGCGAGCTATCTCTTTTTTTTTAATATATTGTTTTGATCTGAAATTCAATTCTTGGAGCTAATCTAAGTAGCAAAGATCCTGAAAGACCTTGTCATTGCTTCTACATTTGTAGTCGTGGTGGACCCCACATACTAGCTATTCACTCATTTTTTGGGTCATAATCGTTATGTATGAGCATTAGTCTAAAGACTGATGAACCCTAACAGATACTGCAAATTTTTCAAAACCAAACTTTTCTCTGTAGACACAAGATAATAAAAGTAATTCCAGTCGAAACAGAGGTGCCTCAATTGCGGCATTGTCAAAATATCTGATGGTAATATGAAATGATCATTTTGCAAGACCTTAGGATTCGCAAGCTTAAGTATGAAAATTTGCAGATAATGTAGGCTAGATATTGATGGAGGAATGTCTACCGAAGAGGGAATCCAAGCCTGTATATAATGACTCAAAGCTAGGTATCTCAAGTGAATTAAATCAAGTATCCAACTGGGAAAAGTTAAACACGTCAATGAGGCAAGATCTAGTACTCATACTAGCTTGAAACGTAATAAGCTTGGCTTAAGGTATCTATAAAAGACGAAAATAGAACAGGTCTCACTACAATAACACCTAGTTATTTCTTCAGTACTGACATCTTTAATACCGATCCACCCTCGACTCTAAGAGAGAAAATGCATGGATTGTGCACATCTATTTTAATCATTCTTTCCGTTGATAACATTCACAAACTTTATGTTGCGAGCTTCTCTAAGGCAGAGTTCACGGGTCACATCATGCATTCCGCTACCTTGGTTTTCCAATAAAAATCAAATGGTGAATGAAAATTAAACTTCTATCTATAAGATCTTTTAGACATTCTTCTGCAACTTCTTCAATGTTTTTCGTCTCTTCTACCTTCAAAAATCCCTCCACAACCAACAATTCCATAAGTTCATTGACAAAAATCAATTTATCCTTGGGGAAGATTGCAAAATACAGAAAGCACGCTTTTAGGTGATGCGGCAGGTGATGGTAACTTAAATCCAACACTCTCATGCATTAGACATCAAGATCTATGCTTACCACTTAACTTACGTTCTTGGCTTCTCCACTCATTAATTTTTCACCGATTTTGGAGAAAAGTCAACCGATTTTGGAGAGAAGTCAGCAATAACAACAATAGCTAGAGGCAATCCTCTGCATTTTAATGCACTTAGTTTGCCAAGTTGTTCAAATCAGGGGAGAAATTATCCTTCACAAAGACCTTTTTTTACAATAAACTCCAACTTTCATCAAAATTCATGAGGCGCACTTGATAAGGAGGCTTACCTGAATTAGTATATTCATCCACCATCATATTCCGAGTAGTCATGAGTATTCGGCTTCCATTTTTCTAGTCTGATGAACATAGTTTTATATCATCCCAAGCTCCTGTAGTCCATATGACATCAATGACTATCAGGTACCTCCTACCTTTTAGAAGCTTCTGCAATTGGTTGGCTAGCTTTCCATCATCTTACTCATAATATTCAAGCATCTTTTCACTTATAGAAGAACGAAGGCCTAGAATTACATTTTTCGCACGATACACTTGTGATACAGTAGTTTTTGCACGAACGTCAAGTGAGACATAATGAATAGATCATTCTACATTTTTTTAGCCAAAGTTGTCTTGCCGATACACCCCCCTCCTTACAATTGAGACAACTTCTAATTCACTTGCTCCTCTAGCAAGTTGATCCTGCATCATCTCGAATTCATTTTCAAGGCCAACCATCATATTCGCATACTCCAAGGCATGTTGAAATGCACTGGCGAGGGTCATATTTTCTGCTTCTAGACCTTTTCTCTGCATCACCATCCACTTGTTCATGGCAGAATCAATGTGTCCAACCGCTTGTTTCAGGGCAAAACGAAGTTCCCAAAAATCTATTCTTTGTGTAATTGCAATTTCTGTTAAGGAAACTTTTCTTGATTCAGAGTCAACCACAAGTTCTATGCTACATCCAAGCTCTATCATTTCAGCTTCCAAGCTTGTCAATGCCTCAAGATCGCCTGTTATAGAACTGCAGGATTTCTCCAGAATAGCTCTCAAGGATTCAAGGTTTTCATAGAAGATTTGAATAGTAAGTCCGGTACATTCCATTGATTGCTTGATGGTGCTCATAAGAGAAGTAATAGCAGCATAAGCCATGTTTTAATCCTCGTATCTTTTGATGTTTTTGAGAATTTTCTATCAGTAAACAAAAAGAGCAAAGGTCCCTATTTTCCTAACTTAATTTGAAAAAAAACAGTTTCTATCAAAACATATCACTTAGGGAAGAAAAGAGGTAAACATGGAAACACGTTGTTCACACTACAAGTGGTCTTGACTTTAGAAACTACAAGACATTGGTGTCCAGCACTCTTTTATTGACTTTTGAGTTTCTTGAACAAGGTTTTGCTTTTCTCTTCCTTTTTTTCCTTTTGTTAAATGCTGAATCTTATATTTGTATGGCCCTCCCTTAAAATGCTATCTTCAAAGTTGGAAATATTTTGGAAGTTTTATGTGATGACCCTCCATGTCATCATGCCACATAGACGCCATTTGGCATATATTAATGCCATGTGGAAGCTTACATAAGAAAAAGGCTAGCATTTGTGAGAAGATTCTAGAGAGGGATGGACATTTCCTTAGGAAGAACCTAGATCCTTATGGATTTGCTAGAAAAGTCTTTGGAATCTTCTAGGCTTTTAGAGAATTCTAAAAAAAACCCTTATATTGTAAATATCAAGGACTTGTGTAATAATTAATATTTACACACTAGCCCCTAGGAGACTGATATATAAAGGGGGCCATTCATTTGTAATTCATCAAGCAAACAATTCAAGTTCTCTCTAACACAAAGCTTCCTTTAACAATTCTCTTGTGTTCTTTCTTCCATTCTCTTAGCGATCTTGAGTGTAGCAAGGTTGACTTGACATACCAAGAATGTGAGCAAGTTGTACAAGATCATGAGCGAGTTGTCAAGTGTCGCACGTGTACATAGTTAACAACTAAGGACATGACAACGTGGTATCAGAGCGAAGGTTTCAACTAAGGGAATGGCGAACGACGGAGAAATTAACGCTGCCAACACCCAAGCCAACGTCATCCAGGATGATGTTGGCAAGAGTGGCCGTAGTAAAAAGAGGAATGCCACCAACAAGATCCAGGAGGTGCCACCTGAGGTTGTGTCAAATGAAGGGCTTACATCCCAAGAACCATCTACCACTGAGGCGAGCAAGGATGAAGTGGAGGTCCTTCCAGAGGACGTCTCGCTCGGTAAAGAGTGGGTGATGAAGATGAACGCGGGGACGGACGTCGTGGAGATCTTTGGCCAACGCTTGGGGAAGGTGGAAGGCACCCTTAACGTTCTTGAGGGGCACACTCTTGAAGAGATTGAGAGCATCCGAAATGACTTGGAGGGATGTACACAGACTGAGATGGAACTAAGGCAAACCATCACTACCTTAGAGTGCAGACTTATGGAGGCTTTGAGTACTATCGATGCTATGAAGGAAAAGATAGAGTCACTCGAGGAGCATGTCAATGCTGGCATGACTGAGGTAGCCAGCAATGTTATGGTGACGAGGGAGGCCAAGATTGAGGCTCCCAAACCCCCGGTATTCAAAGGTGTTCGTGATACACAAGAAGTGGAAAACTTCCTTTGGCACTTGGAGAACTACTTCAGGCACGACAAAGTGAGGGACGACGAGGCCAAGATCAATACTGTGGTATTGTACCTCTCAGAGACTGCCATGCTATGGTGGAGAAGGAAGATGGCCGACGTGGATAAAGGCCTATATACTATTAGCACATGGATCAGTTCAAAGCAGAGTTCAAGCGATAGTTCTTTCCAAACAATGTCTTGTACGAGGCAAGGCACAAGCTTAGGGAATTGAAGCAAATAAGGAGCATACGTAACTATGTCAAGAAGTTCACTACCCTTATGCTTCAAATCCCCAACCTGACCAATGATGACTTGTTGTTCCACTTCATGGACGGGTTGCAAAATTGGGCTAAGCAGGAGTTACAATGCCAACAAGTCACTGATATAGACCAAGCCATAGTGGAGGCGAATCATTAATGGATTTCAGGCATGACAAGCATGACAAAGGCAATATCAAGGAGTCAAAGGTTAACAATGCCAAAGATGGGGGAGACTGTGGCAAAGTCAAGGAGATACAACAACATTACTCCAAGACTCAAGATTTCAAAAAGTCGAGTGGTCGTTAGGGCTAAGAAGAAGGGATGCTATATATGCAGAGGGCCACATGGATTCAGGAATTGTCCTGACCTTAAGAGCCTCAGTGTCATGGTATGTGCGCGAAAGGAGAAGCCACAAGGAGAGAGTTAGGAACCGCACAGTTGGGTATGATCGGATTATGTGGTGTTGTCGCAAAGCAAGCTATCCAACCTACGAAAATGGCAATCAGTACGTGGATCTCACCATCAACAACAAGCCCGCTCGTGCAATGGTGGACACAGGAGCAACTCATAGTTTCGTGACTGAGGCTGCCGCAAAGAGACTGGAATTGAAGCTTGCTCCAACCAACTCTCGCATCAAGACCGTGAATGTCGAGATACAGAATGCTCGTGGGGTAGCTAATGGAGTTGGTGTCAAATTGGGAACTTGGAAAGGTATGACAAACTTTACCGTAACCGCTATGGATATCTTTGACATCATACTGGGGCAAGAGTTCTTTAGACATTGTCATACTTTAATCGACCCCTACCTTTAATGTCTCTTGGTTATGGAGCGAGAAGGAGCTTGCATGGTACCTACAGTGACTATGCCACACGAACAGATCCAAGCACAACTCTCAGCTATGCAGGTTGTCAAGGGGGTCAATAAGGGGGAGTCGACGTTCGTGGAAACCATTGCAAGTCTAGAGGAAGACAAGAATTTTCAAGACAGTGCCGCCTTGAATAGAGAAGTTGCTTGAGGAGAACAAAGAGGTCATGCTCGAGGAGTTGCCTAAGCACTTGCTGCCTAGGCGAGAGGTGGATCACAAGATTGAGTTGGAGCCAGGGGCTAAGCCACCCGCATTGCCCCATATTGTATGGCACCGCCGAGCTGGAGGAGCTCAAGAAACAATTGAAAGAGTTGTTGTATGTTGGTCACATTCGCCCATCAAAGGCACCTTTCGGCGCACCAGTATTGTTCCAGGAGAAGAAGGATAGATTGTTGCGCTTGTGCATAGACTACCGAGCACTTAATAAGGTTACAGTGAAGAATAAGTACCCGATCTCGCTCATTGTTGATTTGTTCGATAGACTTGGGCAAGCCAAGTAATTTACCAAGGTGGATCTTCGAAAGGGCTACTACCAGGTTCGCATTGCGGAAGGGGATGAGCCAAAGACAGCATGTGTGATGATATATGGAGCCTTTAAGTGGTTGGCGATGCCTTTCGGCTTAACCAATGCACCGGCCACATTTTGCACCCTTATGAACAAGATTTTTCATCCCTACCTTGATCAGTTCGTGGTAGTCTACCTAGATGACATAGTCATCTACAGCAACACCTTGGAGGAACACATGGAGCACTTAAGGAAGGTTTTCCAAGTCTTGAGGGAGAACGAGCTATACATCAAGAGAGAGAAGTGCGAGTTTGCACAATCAAAGGTGCACTTATTGGGCCATGTCATTAGCAATGGCGAGCTATGCATGGACGAGGCTAAGGTACGTGCTACCCAAGAGTGGGAGGCACCCATAAAGGTAAATGAGTTGAGATCCTTCCTTGGACTTGTTAATTATTATCGTCAGTTCATCAGTGGATACTCAGCAAAGGCCGCACCATTGACTGAGTTGCTAAAGAATAACAAGCCATGGGTTTGGACAGAGCATTGTCAAAAGGCGTTTGAAGGCCTTAAGGCAGCTGTAATAGAGGAGCCAGTCTTGGCATTACCTGACTTTGCCAAGACTTTTGAGGTGCACACAGATGCTTCAGACTTTGCCATTGGGGGTGTCCTGATGCAGGATAAGCATCCCATAGCATTTGAGAGCCGCAAGTTAAATGAGACGGAGTGGCGGTACACGGTACAAGAGAAGGAAATGACTACCATTGTGCATTGTCTTCGTACATGGAGACATTATCTGTTGGGGTCGAGGTTCGTGGTCAAGACTGATAATGTGGCTACTAGCTACTTTCAGACACAGAAGAAGCTCTCACCAAAGCAGGATAGGTGGCAGGATTTCTTGGCCGAGTTTGATTATGCGCTGGAGTATAAGCCGAGCAAAGGTAACATTGTAGTTGATGCCTTGAGCCGGAAATCCGAGCTTGCTGCAATCACTTCAGCGAGATGGGATATTTGAGAGGCTATAAAAGAAGGCATGCAACATGATCCAGCAGCCAAACAACTTATCGAGTTAGCCAACCAGGGCAAGACGAGATGTTTTTGGGTAGAAGACGGCATATTGCTTACCACGGGTCTACGTGCCTAAGTTTGGAGACATTAGACGGCGGATCATAAGGGAGAGTCATGATACAATGTGGGCTGGTCATCCAGGCCAACGTCACACCAGGGCCTTGGTTGAGTCAGTCTACTATTGGCCACGCATACGAGATGATATAGAATGTTATGTGCAGACTTGTCTTGTATGTCAGCAGGACAAGGTTGAGCAACAA